GCTTCGGAGTGACTAGCAGGTGGGTGGTGGGTGCAGTGTGGACGGTTTGAAGCAAAGGAAGACACTCATGTCTAGAGATTTTATCATGCTGCTCAAAATGGCTTGCCATTTACGGCTCATGAATTGTTTACTTCTGGAATGTACCATTTTTGTTTTTGGACTGTGGCTGGCTGTGGGCAATTGAAACCACAAAAAGTGAAACTGTGGATCAAGAATGGCCAGTGGCTCTGCCTCCGGATGGTCGCGGAGGATGGCTGAAATGCCAAGGCCAGAGTGCACTGAGCTGGGGGCTTGAGGAAGTTCCTATCCCTGCCTTCGTTGGTCACCCACCTGTCTCCCTGGGATCTGTCACTCACCTTCCCTCAAAATGAATTTCCCATTAGTAAATTCCAGGGAGGAATTGCCCGGGCTGTTACAAGGACCTGTGACATAAAAACACAAGAGACAGCACTGGGCTAGCCAAACACAAGGGACACCTGCATCCCCTCTATCTTAGGCTTCCCCTTCCGTGTCTCATGTGATACGGTTGTCTGCTAACCTGGTTCCGTCAGACTGTTGGCTTTGGCTCCATGGGCGAATCAGGCAGTCAATTTCATATGAATTAGAGAACTACGAACTGGTTCAAATTAAATAATTAAATTAGGTCAAATGGGAGTTTTGGGGGATCAGAGATGGAGTTCAGAACCTTTCTTTGTCCCTTGCCATGCAATGTTGGATAAGTTATTGGCTGTTGTTGTCTTACTTCGTTTTCCATTGTTGTGATAAACACCATGACCAAAAGCAACTTAGGGTGGGGGGAAGGGTTTTATTTGGTTTACACTTCCACATTAGAGCCCATCATTGGGGGAAGCCAGAGCCGGAACCTGGAGGTAAGAATGGGATTAGGGACCGTGAAGAAATGCTACCTACTGTTTTCTCTTTGTGACTTGCTCACCCTCCTTTGCTATACAACCCAAGACTGTCTGCCCGGGTAGGGGTAGCACCTCCCACAGTGGGCTAGGCCCATCCATATCAATCATCAACCAAGAAAATGCCCTTACTGACTTCCTACAAGCCAATGTGATAGAGTCATTGTTCCAAGTGAGGTTTCTTCTTCCCAGATGGCCTTAATTTGTGTCAAGTTGACAAAAGACTGGCCAGCACAATTTCCTTTACTATAAAGTGTACTCGGGTGAGGGTAATGATATTCCCTACGGACATGATTAAATGCAAGAATGCATGTGAAACCTCTGTCCTGGTGCCTGAAGATGCTGGCATGGCTGCTTCTGGATGCTGGATCTCACTGCTGATTGTCTATACAGTCAAACTCTACCAGTGATACTGTAATCATACAAGTGGCAAGTGGTCAGGCCAGCAAAAAGGACACAAATCTATACTCTAGAGACCGTGGCACACATCCAGACTCTACCAGGTATTATGTGAAGAGCATGTTCCCCATTCGGTGAAGCTACTTTCCCAAACTCCACTAGAGAGATCCAGCTTCCATAAAACTGTCCTAGATTCAGTTTCAGCTCAGTCGGGTGAGTTAAAGCACTGCTGGCCATGAGCTCTAAGTTAACAGACTGATAACTTTATGACTATATATAGATAAATGAATTAATTTGCATATACTTGAAAGCGTTATAACAAGGATGTGTCCTGGTGCCCTTTCTGTTCTTGTGATAAGACACCCTGACCACAGGTACATCAGTGAAAAGGGTTTCTTTTAGCTCACAATTTTAGGCTGTAATCCATCACTGTGCTGACATTGTAACAATAGGAGCTTGGGTTAGCTGGTCATATTATACCCAAACGCAAGAGCAGAATAACAGGAATGCATATGAGCTCATAAGCTTTCTTGCTTATGTCCAAATTGATTTTCCCACTCTTAGACAGTTCAGGGTCCCTCATCTGGAGAACTGTACCACCCACAGTGGGCTGGGTATTCTCACACCAATCATCGCCCCCCCCCCCCCACAGACATGCCCACACGACATCCCAATGCAAATAATCTCTCTTTGAGAATCTCTCCCAGGAGACTCTAGGCTGTGCAAAGCTGACAATGAAAGCTAATAATCACAAAATATAATGATCAATTGGCAAAACTGTGAAGAAATATTACCTGACATTTCTTGCTTGGAATAATTACTCAGTCCTCATTGAATGCAATGTTTACAGCAAGTTACCAAACATAACTATCACTTGTCACAAGAATTACCTGTAACACTTTTTGAAGGAGGTTAATAAAACCTGGTTTTATTAATCTTCTTATTTTTCCATTGTCACCGCCTCCTGGCTGACTGCTAGAAACATACTGGGAGAGTCATAGAAAGTCAGCTGACTTATGAGGTCTGAAGACGCTGGAGGGGCTCCTTCTGGATGCTGGATCTCATTGCTTGTTTTCCATATAAACAAAGTCTACTTGTGATACTGCAATTACACGAGTTGACTCTACTCTGCAAGAATTGTCTTTTCCTCCATAAGATGAGAAAGTACAGCCACAAGTGGCCGCAGCCTAGTGGTCCCCAAAGTTTTGCAGTTCTCTGGCAAAAACCTTGAAAACCTAGATGAATATATATTAAAGAAAAAGATGTCATAGAATTCCAAAGGGGAGGTTAGCCAACTAAAATGTCTGTATTTTACAGGGAATCCTGGGTAGGGGAGAGATTTGATTCAGAGTCCCTCTGAAATGAAGCATTTGTCAAAGGATATCCGGGATAAAGACCGTGGTGAGGAATGTACCCGCCACTCAGGAGAGGGCTGGCGGGCTTCTGGGATAAGTAATTGCCTTCATGTTTATTGCAGTTAGGTTTTCTGGATCCCAGACTGAGAGCACCCTAGAGCCTACACAGTACAGAAGGAACAAGGTGCTTTTGTTAGTTACTAACAAGCCGATGGCAAAACCCATTCCACGCTCTCATAGGTGAGTGATAACTGAGTGCAGTTTTCCAAATACAAATACCATCCATTCTCTATTGGCTGAGCCAGGCTCACCATGACCCTCTTTAGGAGGAAAGGAATCAAACTTAGCCACTCCATTCGAGGTATTTGAAGAAAAGCACATATATTGCATACCTTGGGGCTGAGCAAATGACTCAACGGGTATAGCACTTGCCCAGCAAGCATGAGAACCTGAGTTCAAATCCCAGAAACCACACAAAGCTTTTATGGTAGCATGCATCTGTAGTCCTATGTAGTCCTCAGTGCATCCTTATGATGAGATGGAGTGAGGGTACATCTAAAGGGGTTGAGAGGAGACATCTGGCATCTGGACACGATGGCTCCTCCCCTATCCCACTTCCCGTTATCCCCCTCCCCCACTCTTTTTTTTTAAATATTTATTTATTATGTATACAATGTTCCGTCCGTTTGCGTTCCCGCAGGCCAGAAGAGGGCACCGGACCTCGCCACAGATGGTTGTGAGCCACCATGTGGTTGCTGGGAACTGAACTCAGGACCCCTGGAAGAGCAGGCAATGTTCTCAACCGCTGAGCCATCTCTCCAGCCCCTCTCCCCCACTCTTGACCTTCCTTTCATAGCCAGACTAGACTCTTCAAGGGGGCCTTCTTCAAAAGTAGCAAGCCCAGGCTGCTAAATAAACAAATGAGATTGAGACAGGCCTGCCATTAAGATGGCAAAGCTTAGATCTATTCCAAACCTGTTAATAAAGCAGACATGAGGGTAGAGCAAGTAAGGAGGAAACTACCATGTGTCCTGACAACCATTGTAATGTCTAGCCCATATCTCTTCTGAGAAAGAAATTAAAGGAACACCTTGGCCCTTGGTTGCATTTCTTTAGGTTCACCTAGCAAAAATCATATGTGAATGGTAAGTCTTACAGCACAAAGAAGCTCGCGTCTTCAGCAACCAGGAGGGAGGAAACAGCAAGTAATGATATCTGTGCAGAGCACTCTTGGGCGGGAAGGCAGAGTGCGAAGCTGCATATGGGAGGGGCAGAGAGGACAGAGCCTGGACTGCTCATTGAAGCCCAGTAAAAGCCTCTTGAGCTGGAGGTAAAGGCATGCATAAGCCAGGAGACAATGGAGATCCACTGGGCATCTCTCAGCAGGGGCTCACAGTGCCTCATGCTGCAGTGAGGAAAATAAAAACAGCCCAGCACAGAGATGATCAGAGAAAGGCAGGGCCACCAGAGGCTCAACCATGAGGAGGCTTAACCTCTGCAGACAACACGGAGGAAAGGTGGGTGCCTTCAGTCTTGGGCACTGAGCTGATGGGGCAGGGGTCTAGGGGAGACGGAGATTCAAAGAGTGAGTTTGGAGCGCAGTGGCTGGGAGGTGAAGGTGTGTGGTGAGCGAGGTGGATGGAAGGGTTTGGCGTGTGGTGTATAAGATGCTGGAAGCAATTGAAAATTGGCAGAGTCCCCACATGACTTCATCTGAATTGCATTTCAGATATTAACTCGCCAACTGTTCCGACTTTGTTTCTTTGTTACCTACTAGTATTTCCCAAAAAGAGTGGGTACAGGCCTGATTTCTGAGACCAGGGCTGGCCAAGTGGAGTTTAGTCTATCACTGACAAAGTGCTTGTTAGAAAAAAAGTGTTTCTCAACAAAGGCTGTCTAAGGATTGCATCCTTAGACTCTGGGCTGCTGATGCTAGCAGCAAAAGCTTGAGCTGATCTCTCTCTCTCTCTCTCTCTCTCTCTCTCTCTCTCTCTCTCTCTCTCTCTCCTACCATCCTTCCTTGAGTCTCTCTTCCACATAAGTACACGGGTATACACACACACACACACACACACACACACACACACACACACACACTTCCTGTTATACTAAACCCAGATGCTGTCAACTGTGAAAGATGGATGCCCAGGTGAATGGTCACCACGAGCCTTTAAGAGAGCTTACAGATCTGTCGAGGGTTCCTGGGTTGGCTATACTTATGACCCCTGAGCACCCCGCGTGCCTAAAACAGTTGGACAGCATGGAAATGTCCCCTCCAGCACCAGATCGGCCTTTCTTGTCTTCGGAACCAAATACCAGACAGACACAATCTAAGTGAGGAAAAACTTGTTCGGGTTCATGGATTTAGGGGCTTCCGTCCACGGTTGACTAGTCCTAGTCTATTGGGTAGGACATCGGGGTAGCAGAAGTGTGTGGTAGAATTCTTCACCTGGAAGCAAAGAGAGGGAGACAGACCAATGAGCTACTTCCTCTGGCTAAGCCCCACCTCCTAAACTTGCCAGACTATCCCCAAATAGCACCAATGATAACAAGACAGTGAAACTCGAAAGTGTGTTGTATTGCTCATTAACATTGAGAATTTCAAGAATTAAAGGTCATGGTGCCTCAATCTTCTCATCTGTAAAATGGTAGCAAAAACCTGGCTCCATAGGGCCTTACGAAAATTAAAGGCTAACTAGGACCTAACCTAGTGGTGCTAGGAACTCACTTATGTTCCCAGGATTTGTTAAGCGGTCGTCAGCACGTCTTGGCGTTTCTTCATCGGCAGTGCCTTCAAATGTGCTACGTCATTTAATCCCTGCTGCTGTTCCTCAAAACCAGTATGACTTTCTCTGCTCATAAATGAGGACCTCAAGACCAAGAGGAAGGGGCTAATCGGCCTCAAGTGCTTGACAACGCCATATGTTTTGTTTCAGGGCGGAGTGAATTGAGGAAGGATGCTGCAACTCTCAGTTTGACCTATAACCTCGAGACTGGAGGCGATTTAAAGCTGGCCAGTCAGTAAATAATCAGTTGGTGATCAGAGCTGCTGCGAGCTTCCCCTAGCTTAAGCTTATCCCGCAGATAGCCAGTTAGCATTATTTGATTGTGATAATAAATTAGATTGGCCAGGTATTTTCTTCTTCGATTCTGTGAACTGTCCTCAGAGACCAGGCTTATTGAAAAATTAGCTTCTAATTTCCCACGATTGAAACGAGTTTGCTATAATGAATAAGTGAATTGATGGAGTTTTAGACACTGTCAGCTTATGGTCAGAAGGCTCTGTGGAAACGTTAGCGAGAAGTGTGTGTAACACAGAGACATACGAGGGTGGTTAGGAGGCTGTGAATAGGAGCTCTGGGCCGCACAGAAATGGATGACCAACAGGGTCTTCTACTCCCCACCCACCCATCTCCTGTGGCGATGTCTGCCCCAGGCTGGCTTTAGCACTTTCTTATTCCTCCTTGAAGAGGCTTTTCCCTTTCGTTTTTCTATCTTTTTTTTTTTTTTTTTTTTAAGACAGGTCTCACTACTACATAGCTCTGGTTGGCCTGGAACTTTTTTTTTTTTTTTTTTTTTAATTTTTTGAGACAGGGTTTCTCTGTAGCTTTTGGTTCCTGTCTTGGAGCTAGCTCTTGTAGACCAGGCTGGCCTCGAACTCACAGAGATCCACCTGCCTCTGCCTCCCGAGTGCTGGGATTAAAGGCGTGTGCCACCACCGCCCGGCTTATGTAGCCCAGGCTAGACTTGAACTCAGAGAGGTTCTCCTGCTTCTGCCTCCTGAGTCCCAAGATTAAAGGTGTGCAATACCATACCCAATTTGGAAGTCTTTTTAGTTGTTGTTGTTTTGCTTTTGTTGTTGTTGTTTTATTTTGTTTTCAAGACAGGGTTTCTCTGTATAACATCCCTGATTGTCCTAGAACTTGCTTTGTAGATCAGGCTGGCCTTGAACTTACGGAGGTGTGGAGATGCACCTGTCTCTGCCTCCCTAGTGCTGGGATTAAAGGTGCACACCACCACCACCCAGCGAAGTCTTTTTAAACAAGATTTGTTCATTTTTATTTGATGCATGTGAGTGTTTTGCCTGCAGTGCCTGCAGAGACTGGAGGAGGGTCTTGGATCCCCTGGAATTGGAGTTACAACAAGCGTGAGTTGCCATGAAGGTGCTGGGAACCAAACCCGGGTCCTCTGGAACACAGCAAAAACCCTTAACCCTTGAGTCACCATCACACCAGTTCCTCAAATTTAAGAGATGCCAGGTCTCTTAAACCTCTAGCTTTATTGCCTTCTAGCTGACCTATCAGCATGAATCTGGGGCCAGATTTCCTTTTGGGATAAATCAGGTAAAATGTTTACTTAGAGTGGCCTCCAATTACATGATTAACCTTGACTCCAAACGAAAGCCTGAACGTCACTGGTCGGTATAGAAGGAGTTGCATCAGGCACCAAGACAAAGAAACAACAGTAAGACTGCAAATGAGAATTGAGTATGCATGTGAGGGAAAAAGAACGATGGGGCTGAACGGATTGCTCGGTGGTTAAGAGCACTTACTGCTCTCTCGGAGAACCGCCCGTATGTCCGGTTCCAGGAGACTTAACATCCTCACCTGACTGCCAAAAGCACTACCCACATGTGGCCCACAGAAACTTGCGAATACACATGCATGCACACAGATGTGGCTGGGGGCTGGGGAAATATCTCAGTGTCTAAAATACCTGTAGCATAGTAGAGGACCTGGGTCTAAATTCTCAGTGCCCACATACAAAGCTAGGTGTGCCTGCAGAGGTCTGTGACACCAGGCCTGGTGGGGCAGAGACGCACAGATCCCTGGAGTTATTGGCCAGTCACCCTAGCTACATCTGTGGGCCATAGGTTCTACGAGAAACCCCACCTCAAAAATAAGGTAAAGAGCAACGAGAAAGATATCCAATGGTCCAGGAAGGAGACCGCCAAGCATGAGATGATACATTCCTTGTGGAGCATGCGGGAGCATCCCAGGCCTGTTCCTATAGGTGCTCACTGACTCCTACAGGAGCACAGCACTTGATCTGTGTGTCCTCTCTACAGTAACTGAAGCCTTTGTCATAGCTTGTCATTTTGTGCCCCCCATAGGGTCTGACCTACGGCAGACACTCAGCAAATACATACCAATGGGTAAAGTAGTGAGGAAATGGACCGACGTACTGCTCTAACCTCAACCTGTAGTAACTGCCTGTCAACGGTGAGACACTTACTGCACACCAAAATTGTACTAAGCATAATGTGTTTATATGTGTGTGTGTGTGTGTGTGTGTGTGTATATATATATATATATATATATATATATATATACATGTGTGTATGTCTGTTAATTGATCCTCACGAACATTTTTATAAAGGAGATTCTCTTAGTCCATTTTTGCAAAAGAGTAAATTAAGACGTAGGGAACTTTTCTATCCTAAATATTAAGTCACTACGGAGTATCCGAAATAGCAGTCTATCTGTTCCCCTCAGTTGACGAGTTTGACCTCTCAATTGTACTGTTCAAGAAGCATGGTTTTGTTTGAACCTGAATTGGACTCCAAAAGTTGTGTCAAAGGGCTTCCCTGTCCCCTCTGGGGATCCTCAATCAAACTGAGGCCATTGTCCTTTTTGGCAAGGTGCAGGGAAGGACTGAGGCAGGGTCTTGAGGAGCCCAGACTGGCCTTGAGCTTACTTTGTAGCTGAGGACTTTCTTGACTCGCAGCCTTCATGTCTTCACCTCCTGAGGCTAGGATTACAGGTGTGTGTCACCACGCCCAGCCTCCTTGCCCTCGCTATGCACTCTGGGCATGTCTCCACTGGCACACTCAATGCATTGTCAAATAATTAATTATCCGGTTAGCTGGGCATTCTGACAGCAGGGACTCTTGTTCACCTATGTTCTCCCATTGTGAAGAGCGAATGCCTGAAATACTGTAAGTACTAAATAAATGTTTGTGGAGCTGATTAATTATCAAACTCTGAATAAACAATGGGTATTTAGAAGACACGTTGGCTGGAGACAATTTTGACTTTGGTCCAGGGTTTCCTTCATGCGATACCTGAATGGTCCAGGTGATAAGATAATACAATGGTTTCTCCACTTTTCAGCAGCCCATGTGGGGCTGAATTTATTGCCCTCTGGAGTGCAGTGCTGGCCCTCAACGTGGCTGCTCGCTCAACCCGTGATTTTAAGTGTGGGGCTGTTGACGGCCACACAAGCTGACTGTGGAAACCTAAAGCCCTACCTAGTTCTGGATTGGGAGATTTGTTATGAGGTGTTAACAGGACCTCTGGGTCCCCAAGGAGGGTGAGCGGAAGAGGTTTGCAGAAACAGGGAACATGATGCTTCACTTTAAAAGTTTTAATGGCAAAATAAAGGTTGGCTCTTTAAACTACAAAACGTGAAGGCTTTAGTAAAACCCAAACTACAACACTGTGGAGCCGTGGGTAGTGGGTGACAGCCCAGACTTGGGAGCACCACAAGTTCATTTCAGTCTCTACCTTGACCCTCTCCCTTCATCTGCCACACAGGGAGAGTTTCCCTCTTGATGGTCTTGATAAAACCTACTGCAAATAATCTATTCCCTTTTCATTGCCATAACAAATATCTGAAATGAATCCAGTTTGTAAAATAAAAGGTTTGTTATGGCTCACCATTTGCAGGTTCAGTCTGTAGCTGTTGGCTCCCTTGCTTTGGGGCTTGTCTACAGCATCACCTCATGGCTAGGACACAAAAGACAAAAAGGAAGAAGCCATTGTTTCATAATCCCCTTCAGGGAATGCCCCCAATGACCTGTCACTGCTCATGAGGCCCCACTTCCCAGAGGATTCACCACCTCCTAGGACTAGTATCCTGGGGACCCAACCTTTAACACACAGGCATGTGAAGGGACATTCAGTTCCAGACTGCAACAGACAGCAACACAGCAAGCATCAGAGATTGCACGTTATGTTGCTAAGGTAGGCCAGTTGTGTAACAAAGGTTCAGTTGAAGATACTTGTAATGAAAGACACAGTTAGGTCTGTAGCGATGGCTCAGCAGTTAAGAGCAGGCCCAAGTTTGGTTCCCAGAACTCACGCTGGCAGCTTATAATTTCCTATAACTCCGACTCTAAGGGACCTGGTGCCTTTTTCTGACCTCTGCAAGCACATTCACTTGTGTGCTACACCCCTCCCCATATATATAAATCCTTTTTAAAATATAAGGGCTGAAGAAATGGCTCAGCAGTTGGAAGAGGGTACTGGTCTTGCAGAGGATCTGGTTTCAGCTCCCAGAACCCACAGTGGATGTCTGTTTCACGACCTCCTGTGATTCCAGTTGCAGGAGTCCAGAGCCTCTGGGTCAGGCACTATGCTGCCCACTTCTCCATAGGAAGGTAATCAAGCACAACTATGTTCCCACTGAACTTGGAAAGTGAGCCACTTTCTGACCACATCTGGCGTTCCCTACCAACGCTCCTCCTTACCTCCCTCCCACCCCAACATGAAGTCAGCCATCACCCTGACTCTGATCAACACAATGTATACAGACTTGAAGCAAGCTGCATGTTGTCCTGTCTGGCTGCTCACAAAGCCACCAACACCACACGAGAAAGCCAAGATAGCCCCATGGTCTGATTGCTACTGTCTCACTGGCCAACAACCATCAACATAGATAGATAGATAGATAGATAGATAGATAGATAGATAGATAGATATTCGATAGATAGATAGATAGATAGATAGATAGATAGATAGATAGATAGATTTGAAAGAACAAGCAAGACTATTTTCATGAAGAATACTACCAGGCGTGGTGGCACACACACCTTTAATCCCAGCACTCTGGGAGATAAGAGGCAGGCAGATCTTTATGAAATTGAGGCCCACCTGATCCACATAGTGAGTGTTGAGTCCCAGGACATCTAGTGCTACACAGAGAGACCCTGTCTCAAAGGAAGAAGAAGAAAAAAAAATACTACTAGCCGATCTACCAGACACATCAGAGATCCTACTGAAGTTGGCTAACTAGGCCTAGATCTGAAAATATATCACACTAACTCATAGAACTTTAAGCTCAAAAAATTGTAGTTGTTCTAAACAATTATGTATTGGGAGCAGTTTCTTATGCAGCCAAAGCTAACTGATACAAGCTTTCAGCCTAGACTGGGGCTCATAAGCTTTTTCCGTAAAGGGCCAGATGGTGACAGTTTTAGCTTTGTACACCATCAGTCCTCTGTGGAAACTGTTTGACTCTGCTGCTCTCACCAACAAGGAGCCACAGACAACATGGAGGAGGACAGTCATGGCTGAATTTGGCCAGAAATCTGTCTTTGCTGACCCTTGTTCCAACACCACTGACTGATAATAACCACACAAAAATGTGTACCAGCTGCCCTTGTGTCTGAGCGGCTGAGTCTTGTGTTCTGTCAGAAAGAACCACTGGAGAGCCCACCACAGTCTGGCAACTTGGATGAGATGAAGTATTTAAATGCACCCTCCCTTATTCCAAACAGACCCCAAGATAACGGAGATCCGTGCAAGCAAACTCTGAGCAGGTAATCTTGATTGAGGAACATGGTAAAAGAGTGGGGTGTGAGACACGAAGGAAAGGTCAGGATGGAATCAGTTAGTGAGCAGGGTAGGACAGGCAAGTGAGGTCTCGTCTATTGGAACCTCCAGAAGACGGCTAAGGCCAGAGGAAGGGCAAGGACGCCAGGTTATATGTCTCCAACTCCACTGTCTTAACAGGGCTGCTCCAGGCAGCATTAAATCTACAGCACTCTGGCCTGACCCCAAACTACTTACTGCAGCCAGAGAAAGCTCTAGAACGGAGGATAAGAGCTTACAATTAGAAGTTGGCCCAGGAAGGAGGGGGCCAAGAGGGAGGGAGGCCAGCATCTTCTGATACAGGAGCCTTCCCTGTGGGGAAGGTCTCAATGGGACTAGGATGGGATTTGCCCCTGAGAGAAGCTGCTTCTGGAGGGCAGGTGGAGGGAGTCGCCTATGAGGAAGGTGTGCAGAGAAACATTAAGTCAGCAGTTTGGCCAGAACATGCCCTGCAGGCTGAGTGCTGAAGCCTTGGTCCCATCTGGTGGCACTATATTGTGAGGTATTGGAAAACTGGGGAGACGGGGCCTATTTGGAGGATATAGGTTACTGGGGGCACGTCCTTGGGCCTTACCTTGGCTCCTTCCTCTCCCCCTCCCTCTCTCTGGTTCCTGAGGACCATGAGATAGACAGATCTGGTTCTATGATGCAGTCTCTCACCGCTGTCCAGAAGCTGAACCCTCTGGTGCTGTAAGCCAAAATGAACCCTTCACAAACCAACATAGCCCGTGACAATCCACATCCATTGTCAGCTGATCCTGAGAGGAGACTCTATCCAAGGCTGGTTTAACAAATTGCCACAAACTTGGGGCCTTACACGAGAGAAATTTGTTCTCCCACAGTGACAGAAGCAGGGAGTCCGAACCCCAGCTGGAGCCGCGACTGTGCTTTCCCTAAACACTCGGGACAGGACTCTGCTTTGCCTCTGCCTGGATTCTGGGGCTCCACTAGCTACAGCCTCCATCATCACTTCCTCCAAATGTCCCCCTTCTTAAAGATGCTGGACTGTAAGAATGATCCCATTTTAACTGGATTATATCTGTAAAGATTTCATTTCCAAACGAGTTCATGTTGTCAGGTAGCAGGACTCAAGTCTGTTTTAGGAATGCAGCCCAAACCATGAGAGAGCATGAGGACGCACAGCCACAGGAAGATGAAGCGGCAAGCGACTGTGTTGTCACATGTATCCCAAGGACTCATCCACTGACACATTTTAAGAAGAAAAGTGTGGTTGTCATAAATAAGAGGACGATGGACATATGCTGGTGGGATTTAGAAATGTGAACACCATGGCTCTTCTAAGAGATGAAATAGAAAAAGAGAGAGAGAGAGAAAGAGGAAGGAAGGAAAGAAGGAAGGAAGGAAGGAAAACAACAAACAAGCAAAGACATAAAGAAAGAAAGACAGAAAGATCAGGGATAATAGTGATAGAGATGAGATAGGCAAGAATCAAGAACAGACATGAGGTCCTGGAGACAGTGCAGACCCAGCCCCATTAAGATGCTGAATTTTGCCAGGCGGTGGTGGCGGCACAAGCCTTTAATCCCAGCACTTGGGGAGCAGAGGAGGCAGGTGGATCTCTGTGAGTTCAAGATTCAAGGCCAGCTTGGTCTACAGAGCTAGTTTCAGTACAGCTAGAGCTGTTAAGAAGAGAAACCCTGTCTCTAAAAACGAAACAAAACAAAACAAAAAACTGCTGAGCTGTAAAAGGAAGAAGTAGACAGAGGCTTGATGGGGTCGAGGGAGGTTTCTGCTTGTTTGCTTTCCTTAAGGTGGGAGTGAGCACTTCCGGAGAAAGAACACGGTTTCCAGGGGTTGTTGAATATGGAGGTGATGAGCCTAGAGCCACGTGCCATGCCATGACGTTCTGGCTTCTCTGGAAGATGAAGAAGGGATGAGCCTAGTACCACAAGTTCTGGAATTCCCTCCTTAGTATTGTGCCCCATCGTGCTACATGAATGATCCCGTATACTATCATTACAACACCCTTTGCAACAGTCATCCCCCCCAAGTCTTCCATTACTGTACAATTTCCTAAAATTGCCTTTTGTGGTCCTTTTACTAAAACTTATCAATAAATGCTTTCTGTGTCTACCATGGACCTGTCCCCAAAGCACTATGACGAGGAAGCTTCAGGTTGCAAGGCTGGGCAATACAGCCTTACTCTACTGATCTTGACTGCAGCCCCTTAAGGAGGCTGGACAGACCAATTATCGTCATCCTACACATAGACAAGCAACCTAGATTCCAGAGAGGAAAGCGCTGTAGGTACCACGTGGACCCGCAGTCATATCTTCAGAAATCTGATTGATGCCTACAGCTGCTTCCCGCATCAAGTGATAGCCAGGGCACTTCTAAGGCTACATAAAAATAGGAATTTTCTTTTCTTCGAAGGGAACCTAGAGGGAAATGGGTCACTCTTTTCAAGATTTATTGAGCATGGTCTCGCTGTCCTAGGAGGAATAAAGGAAGGTCATTAGTGGCTTAGGTAGTCCTAACTTTGCCTCCCTCGAGAAAAACCGTACAACCAAAGAACACAGAGAAAATGAAACAGGAGCCGTTTCTCCGTCACAAGTGAGCATTCTTTACCCAGCAAGCACTTTTCCAAGCTCCACTATATGCCAGGAATTATTCTCAAGACTGCAGGACGAAAATAAGGCGGGCGTTATTTTTTCTGTTCCCAATGATCTTGGTGCCATAGTTTGTATTTAGACCCTTTCTCCGTGTTTAGAATTGTTCCCGAGCTAGACACTGCTGAGTGGTGGGGACTTTAAGAGGGGGGTCTGCTTGGAGGTAGGGCTTGAAGGACCTCTTTCCTCCCGTTGCAGTAATGGGAGCAGGCTTGCCTTATACCATACACTTCCCTAAGAGCAATAAGCCCAGCTCATAAGGTTCAGAAGCCTCCGACATCAAGAGCTCAAAGAAACCGTTCCCCCTTTCAAGCCAGTGCTGGTGTTTTGTTACAATAGTAGAAAGCTGACCGAGGTACCCAGGATCTGAATAGGCAGATACCATATGGTACAGATAACCTTGGTCACACTGGTCACTGGGGTCAAGGAGCACATATGTTTGAGGAGTAATGACATGTCAGGTGAGCTGGGGGGACACAAAGTCTCTAAAGTAGAATGTGGGGGTGGGGTGAGTCCTAGGAGGAGAGGAAGAAGAATGAGCCCAAATGGTGAAAATAGTGACCATAACGTACAACCTTTATGTGATGTTTATAGTTTATAACACATTTTTACATCATTTCTTTTGCATTTAATCTTTATAATAGTCCTTTGAGAAGCAAACAGAAAGGTGCCTTCCCCCAAGATTAGGTCTACGAAATGACTGCTCCCCATGATGCAATATAGTCAAGAATAACACGAGCGCCCCACCATTATTACACGACGTGGTCATCAGACACAGCTTCCTGCATACTGTTTGATGGCTTTGTCTGGTTTGGGTGCGTGCTGACATATCCCAGTTAGCCCGAGCAGGGCTTCTCTGACCGCTGTCCTACAGCTTTCTACCACCCCAGCTGATCTCTGCTTCCTGAGCCAGATGCGCCTCCTTCCTGCCTTTCCGTTGACCGCCACTGTGAAGGACTAAGAATGAACAGCCCCCCACTGGAAAGCTCATTTAGGTGGAGTCTCAAGCCGGCTCCCAAGGATGAACTTCCTTCTTGACCAAATGACTCATCCAGCTGCCCATTCAGTCAGCAAACTGTGGAATGCCCAGTTGTATACAAGACTTGAGCCTAGATTTTGTAGAGGACTCTAAAGGTCCACACATCTTTCCGATTCTTCAGCAGTTGTGAGGAAGGGACGAGGCCAGGGCGTCCACATTACTTACTGACTTCCTCCCGGCCTGGCAATAGAGGCTCTCGTCTTCACGTCAGAGGAGAAGTCAGAGCTTTCCTCTCTGCCTCTTGACCCAAGAGGTTTTATGGAAGGAGTTTTCAGTTTGGTTGAGCCTTTTGCCTTTGTTTGATTTTACTTCCTGGTATTGATCAAACTGAACTTTGGATCGGCTTGCAACACTGGAGAGGGCGTACTCTAAGGCCCATTCAGGTGAGCCTTCAGGGCTCCACGCTACCATGGGTCCTTGCCAAGGTCCTAGGAGGGATCACAGAGAGGAATTCACATCTCCAAGTATTTTTGTGAGGTTTCCCCAAGTAATACATTTTTTTTGCATTCTTTTGTTCTAAATCAGGTAACCTCCAGACCTCATGTAATCAGGATACATCTCTGCATTTGGAGGTGGAATATATAAATATATATTTATTTACATATATATAATTATTAAGAACAATGAGAAAGAGGTCAGGGCTGTGCAAGCAATTAAATACAGAAAGGTGGACACCCATTGGGAATCCTATCAGCTTTCTAGCCCTATAACAAGAACACTGAGATCATCAACCTCTACGAAGGGAAGGTTTTTGTTGTTGTTTTGGTTTTTTTGTTTGTTTGTTTTGTTTTGTTGTTGTTGGCTCACAGTTTTGAAATCTCCAGTCTGTGGTCCCATGGCTTTGGCAATTGTGGGGGGTCAGCACATCATGGCGGGAATGCTTGACAGCTCAAATAACTGTGAGACAGTGGAGGGACCAGGAGCTAGGCTCCCATAGTCCCCTTTCAAGGTTGCACCCACAGTAGCTAACTTATTCCTACTAAGCCGCACTCCTAAGGGACCCACCTTAACCCACCATCGGCATGGACTGCAAAAGGCAGTCTCTGTGTGCATGGCCTTCTCTGTCTTAGTCACTTCTCTTTGAGAAAGGACGAGCAAATTCAGGCTCACAGTTGGAGGGGCTCCTTTCTAGTGGACAAAGAACGGTGGTATGAGCAGCGGACTGCTTAGCTATATTTTATCAGCAGTCAGAAAGCAGAGGAAGAACAGGAGATGGGGCTAGATTATAAAATCAGAGACAGGAGGAGTTCTAGGCCAGCCAGAGCTACAAATAGCTTGCCATGTCTCAAAAGAACAAACAAAATAAGTGGAGGAAAAAAAGAGAGAGACAGGGGAGTGTGCAGGAAAAAGAGGAAGGAAACCCAAGAGAGGACAGTACCTGTATAGAAGTCTTACCCATGGTTACATAGAGAATAAATGGCCTTGTTGGAGTAGGTGTAGTGTTGGACAAAGTATGTCACTGTGGAGGTGGGCATTGATATAGGATACCTAGCTGCTTCTCCAGCACCTTGTCTGCCTGCAACACCACCATGTCACACCAGGATGATAATGGACTGAACCTCTGAAAATGTAAGCCACCTCAATTAAATGTTTTTCCTTTACAAGAGGTTTTACTGGGTGGTGGTGGTGGTGCATGCCTTTAATCTCAGCACTCAGGAGGCACACAGGTGGATCTCTGTGAGTTTGAGGCCAGTCTGGTCTACAAAGCAATTTCCAGAATAGGTTGCAAAGCTACAGAGAAACTCAGTCTCAAGGGAAAAAAAACAAAAAAAAAAAAGAAAAAAAGAGTTGCCGTGGTCATGGTGTCTCTTCACAGCAATAGAAACCCTAAGACAGCTAGTACACTGTTGGTGACCACCAACACTATTTCCACTTACAGAAGTAACGCAGACTCATTGGAAAGTATCTGGAAAGCTCAGAATCTAAGAATTGCAAAGGAAAAACATCCACTCCCCTACCGATGGCAAAGTATTGGTGACTGTGTCTGGTGACAGGCACAGGTATCCCTAAACAAACAGACACAGTACCAGCTCTAGGGCTGGACAGAACTCAACCCATCACTTTGCAGTGACCTTGGGCCTGTCACCTCATCCTTGCTTGTTCTGTATCACCGTTCTGAGGTCCTGAAGCTGATGTAGGAATTTAAGAGTCGCTGTCAAATGTCCAAGTGGCTGTAGTTCTCGCAGTCCCAGAGTGAGTGAGAACAGACACTCAGGTTCCAGGCAACGAATGCCATGGTGTGTGGGAATGATTGCCCAGAGGGAACGAGGGAGGCTGGGGAGGGCAGTAGGGTGTCTCTCCAGGCCAGGCCTGGGAGGGCCGTGACCTCCACACTCCATGGCTCTTAGCTCCCATCTCGCTCCCATCTCGCTCTCTTCTCTCCAGGTCGCAGCGCTGGCAGGAAGCAGCCTGTGGGTGGTGCAGAAGGTGTGGAAGCTGTGACGGTAATACCGACAGTAGCTGTAGTAATAGTTGGCACCTTCCCGGAGGATCGCTGTGTGCCAGGCACGGAGCCAAGCCCCTTCTCATCTCCCCCTCAACTCCAAGAAAGGGGGATGGAGAGGTTGGGGGGGTTCTGCTACAGCATCTAGGCTGTGAGCGCCCTCCTGGAGATTGGAAGCCTGCATGGAAGATATCGTCTGATCCCCACCACCAGGCCCACCTCCTTGAGACCTGGGCAAATATGTACTTCTGAGAACAAGCGAGTTCGTGGTAAATGCGTAGAGCCTGACGCACAGTTCAGAAAGACTTCAGCGAGTAAGAAGCCGTTTCCTTCTTAGATCGAAACCTACTCCATGAACCTCAGATCCACAGTGCCAGGAAAAGCAAGCACCCCCTACCACAGCTCAGGATGTCAATTAAATGTAAACTGAGTCCTCAGTGCAAAGAGGGGGTGCAGTGGGGCTGAGCCGCTGGCCAGGTTTTGTCTACGTGGCACTGGGGAAGCCTAGCCCCTATTAGAAGGCATAGGTACCCCAGGGTGTATGCACAGTCAGAAGTTTTCTCCATCCAACACGAGGTGGAGATGAGCTGAACCATGGGTGATGTGGGTGCAACCATCTTGTTTACCTCTCTGAGCAGCACCAAGAGGCCCGAAGTATGTGTGGAAGAAAACAAGTCTTCTATCTTCACTACAACCCAGCTGTGCTTCTCTGGGCCAGTCACCACCTCACTGAGCCTCATTTTCCTTACCGGTATAAATGGAGATTTAACTGAGTTGAAGCCCTTCTTTGTGGCTTTGAAAACCCCCTATGGGCATTTCAATCTGAATTTCTGGGCCATCAAATCGAGGCAAAATTTGGTTGGTTCAAAGCTTCTTCTAGACAAAGCGTCAAACATCATGGCGAGGATTTATACAATAAGTTAGCGTATTTGTGAGATTGTGGGCGAAAGTCAGCCAGTTAAGAACTGTATGGTGGGACTGGGACTGGAGAAATGGCTCAGTGGTTAGGAGAACTGGCTGTTCTTCCAGAGGACCTGGGTTCCATTCCCAGCACTCACATGGCAGCTCACAACTGTCTGTAACTCCAGTTCCAGGGGATCTGACACATATAATAATCATAATCATAATTAAAAGAACTATATGGTGGGGACATTAAACCAGTGGAAGGGGAATGTGTTACCAAAGACAGCAAGCGACAAAGAGGAATGAATGAAATGTATCAAGAGGAAGCCACAGTTGAGCTTGCCTTTTCCAGAGCTAGACAGTGTCAGCTGCCTTGGGATGTTTGCTAGGTGAGATATGTAAGAAAAAGAGAGGATGAAGCCACCACCGCAGGAACAAGCTAAGCAGGTACTCAAAGTCTAGGTGCTCAGACCACCCACCTCACAGCTTGCTGCCTTCACAGCTAGCCATACCAGTTACCAGGCCCCAAAAGGAGACATTTGCTGAAGGTTCCAGGTCAGTGGAGAGGGCCTCTCTGAGGACAGGTCCCAAGAGACCGAGGCTGCAGGTGGAGTGGGAAAAAGAAGTAAGTGTTGGGCACAGTTGAGCCCTGGGGAAGTACCAGCCGGAAAGAGGACAGGCCAAGCAAGAGGAAGGAGGGGGAGCTAGCACATCTGGGTGCCCACAAGGTGCCAAGTCAGAGACCCATATCCTAGTCCTATTGTCATTTAGCTCTTCCAAGAGATCTGTGAAATGGCAGGAAGCCCTGGGACTTGAACCCAGATTTTCCCAACCTTCTTCCCATCTCCCAGGGCTGTCTTCTCAGGAAAAGCAGTTTGGGATTCGGATCAGAATGGTACTTTCTATCTATGATTCCCGTGCCTCCACCATGTCAGCCACCCTGCTGCCCCACTACCCCAGGTCTGTAGACTGAGTAGACCTATTATGAGCTAACCACATTTGTCCAGCCCTTGCTCTGGTGAGACCATAGCCAGCTCCCTCTCCTCTGCCCTGGACCCAGCCGTGATCTCCAGCAGCATAGGTATCCTGTTGCCACCTTACTATCTACTTCCACAAGACAGCGTGTATTTCTTCTGGAATGTACATGCGAATAATTGTGATTTCCTGACTCCAGAGGCCCTAAGAGCTGGTCCTGTCCAACAGTCCAGAGCACACTCCCTATTCGCCCATCTGTTGTGGGCTGGATGGTAGCTCCCTAAAAGACACATCTTCATCTTAGCACCCAGATCCTGTGAACGTTTGAAGCCAACCTGGGGTTCATGAGACCCTGTCTTGAAGCAAAGCGAAAGAGCCATGCTTTCTACGACCTCCCAAGGCTCCTGCCTTTCTACCCCAAAGTCCCTTTCCTAAGGAAGAACTCAGCGAGACTTCCTTGTAAAGTCTTCTCTGTTCCGACCTTCAGAACTTTCTAGTTCTACTTCTACCTCTCGAAGACCTGAACTAAAGCTTATGTGTGGTCCCCAAGCTGGCCTAAGCATGGGTCCCCTTCTCAGGTGACCAGGGAGCACATTGTCTAAGGGAAGCCTAGGTAGCTCTTCCTTAGGAGTTAAACACAGACATTCAGAGGGTGCCTCCCCCCACCTATTAGGGTATGACTATCTTTGTCCAACTTTGATTATCTCATCATAAAAAGAAAGCCTATTTTCAGCTGGAATTATGGGAATAAACCCAAGAAATGTGGGGAAGGAGGGAATGAGAGGAATCCCATCACCCAAGTCTTCTGCATCTCTCCCTATCCTGGTTACCACCAAGACCATCATCACCTCTGGACTCCTCAGTTACACGAGTTAATAAATCCCGTTCGTTCCTGAGTCGTGTCTGAGTCCGTTTTCTGTCACCCGAGACAGCAAGCGTCTTAACTAAGACAAAGCTTCCACTATTTAAACAGTGTCAATTCTTAGGGTCTCACTCGAAGGGAGCTGCTGGGATGTCTGTCTTAACCTAGAAGCCAGACTTCAAGACTTGCAATGCTGACGTCACTGCTTCTCTATCTTGACCTTCAGGGCTCACCTTTTGCATCTTTAGAGATCAGACCTGTGGTGGTTTGACAGAAAATGGCCCCCAAAGGCTCATAGGGAATGGCTCTATTAGGAGGTGTGGCCTTGTTGGAGTAGGTGTGGCTTGTTGGAGGAAATGTGTCACTGGGGGTGAGCTTTGAAGTCTTAGGTGCTCCAACCAAGCCCAGCGTGGCAGTCTCTTGCTGCTGTCTGCCAGTCCGGATGTGGAACTCTCAGTGACCTGTCTAGCACCACGTCTGCCTGTGCCCTATCATCCTCCCCTCCATGATAACAATAGATTAGAACCTCTTGAGCTATAAGCCAGGCCAAATTAAATGCTTTCCTTTGTAAGAGTTGGTGCGGTCACAGTGTCTCTGGACAGCAATAGAAACCCTAAGACAGGACCAAGAGCATCTAGGGACTGGTACACCTGTGCCTGTCTTCCAATTTGTGTGGCTCGTTTTCCTGGTCACTGGACAGTGGGTCTCCTTGGGGCTTGGTCTTTCTTTCCAGGAGCTCAGTAGCTGACACCCTGACTGTGATCCGTGTGCTGCGCTCTCAGATGGCGAGGACTTCGCTGGCACTAGCTCAACCTCAGTATTCCTAGCCCCTCCCTGGGCTTCCGTGTCCCTAGGTGGAGAACACACCTTTCTCACCGGTGCCAGGGCAGAGCTTTGTGGACACAGAACCTCTCTTCTGGGCCCCAAAAAAGTTGAGGGGATGTGCCCTCTCTCTGCTCAGCTCTGACTGTCTGACTACCCACCGCTGGGTTCATAAGGCACATGGGTCAGTGTTCAGTAAAGGAGACCAATGTCTGCGGTTGGGTTCCATGGACTCTGCAGAATGAGCCAGGTAAGGACGTCGCAGGCATGCACGTGGAAATGCTCCAAAAATTATGAAATGATAAGGCAGGGAGTTGACACGAAAATTAATTTTTTCACAGTGCTTTATCAAACATACATTATTTCACTTAGCGCTTGACCGCGGGTTGGAAATTAGCTGCTGTTACACCCCAAGGGAGAACATATTATTCTCACTTCCAAATAAATATCTTTTCATAGTTTCCCTTTAAATTCCGTCCAGAAACATGATGGGCCCCTATTGTTCTGTCAGACTAGATCGGCCTCATTTCTGGGAACCGTGTCTCTGGCTCCTGGGAAGTATTCCTCTGCCCCCGGCCCCCTGAACATGCAGGCCCCTCAACATGCATATGGCACTGCAGGAGTCTGCCTGTTGGCACAATGGGATGCACTCTTGGCCCTGGCCATTGGTGGAGAGGTGGGCACCTGATCCGAGCTGACCAATCAGAGCCCTCCCCCAAGATTTGGGAACTGCAACTGACAAAAAGAAGTCAGTCTCCCCCTGAGTGTCTGAAAATGAAGACATGTAAATGCAGAAGCAGTTGGCAGCCCTGTTCCACCATGTGGACTGAGGAATAGAAAATGCCAATCAGCAGAAAGAGAAGCAGAGGCAAGAGAAGGAGAGCGAATCCAGACAGCCACTGAGCTGCGCGGTCTAGCTGCTCCCCAGGCCCAGCCATATTCCACTTTTGGATCCCACCGAATCCACGTAGCCTTCTGACAAAAATTCCTTTTTGGCTTCAACTATCTCAAGTTGGATTTCTCTCCTTTGCCATCCCAAGAGTTTTAGCTAGTAGGAGAACACATCCCTGCTTCAATCCTGCTTCTGCGTCAAGCTTGAATTTCTCAATCATTTTACTTGGTGACTTCAGAATGGAAAAGAGAAAAATGAAAATATTTTAATTAGACTCCCACACAAATTAATCTGCACTCATTCTTCTGAATGGTTTCTCCACAGAAAACTCTGGGAGAATTTTCTTCCACCTGGAGTGGATTAAGAACACTAGAGATACGGTGTGCAGTGAGATTCTTCACTAAAAATTTAGGCTTCTTAGGATCTGGTTGGAGAGATAGCTCGGTGAATAAAGTACGCGCTGAAGAAGCATGAGGACCCGAGTTTAATCCCAGAATCCACATTTAAAAAAAAAAAATCCAGCATGATAACAAGCCCTTCCAGCCCTGGGAAAGTAGAGACAGGCAGGCAGATCCCTGAGGCCAGCCTGTAACTTAACCAGCAAGCCCAGCTCCTAGTAAGAGACCCGGCCCCCAACAGAGCTGATCTTGGTGACTCAGACCTGTAATCCTAGCATTTGGAAGATTGAGGCAGGTGAACCGCTGTGTGGTTGAGGCCAGTCAGCCTGCACCAGTAGTGAGTTCCAGGATGGCCTGTTTCTCAGAACAATAACAACAAAAGAAACAAAAGCAAGATGGACGGCTCCTGAGAAATAACACCCAGGTCGATATATGGCCTGCATGAACATACACAACACACACACACAGAGAGAGAGAGAGAGAGAGAGAGAGAGAGAGAGAGAGAGAGAGAGAGAGAGAGAGAGAGAATCTGCTTTTCTCTAATTTTAAAGCTTATCTGAGAGAACAGTATGTTCTCTTTTGATAATCTGTCTGATTTAATGTGACCTCTGACCTCTAGATCGACAGGCGTCTTTTTGGCACTTGTTGAAGTCCCACAACCCATATAGGAGGGCAGCAGTCTTTAGCATGCTTTCCTTTGACAGCTGCTTAGGGATCAGAATTAGCCTTTTCATAGGCAAGGCCCTGTGGTGCAAGGTGGCGCAGAGCTGTCCAAAGAAAGCTCGGCGGAGAAACTGAGACAGAAAATCCCTTTGCAGAACGAACAGGGAGAAACCGCTTAGCGAGGCGAACTCGCTATGTGTTCTGTGATCCTTAAAATAACCCATAACAAAATGTACAACGTGGAGATTCTGTCTCCATCCACTTTTCTTAAGCGTTGGATACTTAGTGTCAACAAGATAAAACAAACCACAAAATAAGTTCTTGCTGTGTGTTTATTTAGAATCTCTGGGGTTTTGCCTGTTAAAAAATAAAAAAAAATTAACCCTAAACCCACTGGGCTTGACCACAGACCAGAAAGCATATGCTTAGCACATGGCTGACATGTGTAAACCTGAGTTAAAACCCCAGCAGCCGGGAGAGACCCTCCCCAGCCCTCCCCCTGCCCGCCCTTATCGGAGCAAGCACGCCTTTGATCACACGAGCCTCAAAAGCCTAACAGTATGTTAGCCACCATCTCTACCCTAATTGGAAAATATTTCCCTGTTCAAGTTCAATCAGCATTTCAGATAAATAGGTAAAAGATGCCTAAGAACTTGGGGCTGGAAAGAACCTCAGAGGTATATCTGGCTCAAAAGGTTTATTTTAAAGATGAAACGATAAAGACAACACGGTTTAGTCAGCAAAGAACAAGAGGGCAGATTTCTTGTCAACTTCCTCCCTCCCAATTTCTGGTTTTTAGAAGCAAGGCCTTTCCAGAAAGCTTCCAAGCCTTCTCTTTTCAGCTCCTGGCCAGTCCCGCCTGAGGCAAGGCTGTGGATGCTTTAGAAATCAAGGGCGCCCCTCCCAGAGAAAGTTGCAGGGCACTTGGGGGCCAGAGCTGCGGGGTTGTAAGGAGCTCTGCTTTGAGGGATGCGGTACAGAAGTCCTCACATCCTCTTAGCACACGCAAGCCTCATATTGCCGCAGTCCCGCCACGCGACCGCAGAGCTGTAGGTTTCCAGGAGCCCTGGGGATACGTTTAAAGGATACCTAAGAAAGCAGAGCAGAGGGTGTCACCCCACTGGGAAAAAAGGCAGCCCAGTGAATGGTAGGGGGATGGACGCAGGGACCCTGCCAACTTCCTCCCACACCCATCATTGGTTGTGGTGGAGCACGAGGAAACAACCAAGTAGCATGGCGCACGGAAGTCACACTGACACAGCCACACGTAGAAGAGAGGGCCCAGTTGCTCGGCAGCTTGAGTGGGAATGTGAGAAAAATCATGGGGATTTCACAGCGCAGGTGGAGTTCGGGCACAAACACCCCAGAGCGGCTTGCTAATCATTAGAGATAGCGCCTCTGTACAATGTCAAGAAGTGGGAATTCAGGGGCATTTTCTCCTTTTTTTTTTTTTTAAATGACACTGCAGATAATACAAATTTGCTTTAAGCTCAAGAAGTACAACAGACCAATGCCAGCTTCCCAGGTAAGGGACTGGGATTGGCACCGCCGCTCATAGTGGCTTCATACCATGGCTCCTCCGAGAGTCACAGGCACACGAAGAGATAGGCACCCTGCCCTCAGCTCCATCTCCTTTTGAACAGTAGGCATGCGCAGGACAGGCGGGTTCAGAGCTGCTGTTGGAAGCGCGTGGTAAGGCTCTCTCCTTCCCGGCCATTCTCCCTGCGACTGGTTTTCATATCAGTTGATACCTGAACAGAGGTGTCGACTCCACATAGGCTGGCCCTGAGGGGAACACGGTTCTCACGCAGCTCCCATAAATCACCCTCTTCTCACTTTAATATCAAGTATGATATGTATTAGAGGGCAGGCTTTGGGCTAGACTCAAGTTGGAAGGCTGTCAAATAAAACACAAAATAGGAAAATAAATCCAAAGTGAAATTTATGACATGAGTTTTACTCCCATTACACTCCACTTAACAAATGCATATGTTTTACAATATCTTTAATAATAATTATTAAACATAGTAAAATACTTCCAAACTTGGCTCATTGCATAATTGTACTTCGAGTGAAAAAAAAAAATTATCGAAGGCCTTGTCAGTATGCCACTTCCTACTCCCCCAGCTTTTAACAGAAGCAGCCTCCAGTGGGATAATCCAAGCTGTGTTCAAGAAGTTGGCAAGTAGGTCCAATTAAATGTGGTTTTACTGTATTCTGGCGTTTGCATATCTAGTTTGCCAAGAAGTAATCTTTCACAAAAAAAAAAAAAGAACAAGAAGAAAGAAAAAAGAAAAAAAAAAGACAGAAAAAAATCTGTCCTGGCCCAGAATCAGACGGAATGGCACAATGTATCATATAACTTTACCCCATGACTAAGATAATCTCTTTTTTTTTTCTTAAAAAGCTATGGAAAATGTATCATCTATCCATCATATTCCTGTATGAATCACGAAACGCCATCCTGTGTGGGATAGCTTACATTTACACATGACAAAACTGGAACTCATCACAATAGGTCTGTTTATTTTAATTATTAAACTCCAAGGGGTTAGTGCTCAGCCACCTGAGATTGATGTATTTATTCAGGTGTACTCCAGTCGGATTATCTGAAGGAGGCTGTAAATGATCCTATTGCCTATTAAATACCCACTTGTCCGAGCAGGCGTCGTACACATTCACAAGCCTGTGTACCTGGAACTGGGGTTGGGGGGGACGCTCCTCTGCTTTTGCAACTGAAATGCCAGGCAGTTCCTTTGCAGGTGTTTTACTGCCCCGGGCCTTCATGGAGGGGCTGATTTGAGCAGTCCTTTCCAGCTCACCCAGGCTCTCCATGAACGGCCGGCCGTATCCAAAGTCCAGATGGAGAGCTGTCAACAAAGAGACTCCTTCCGCCCTGCCTACCGCATGACTCATCCCTGGCATGAAGACAGGCCCGGAGATGGCCCCACCACCTTGACTCCCATAGGTGAGCCAGGCGAGGAGCACAGGTGCTCACTCTGCAGGTCAGCGGGAGGGGATCAGGTCCGAAAAAAGGCTGCAAACCTCACAACCTGGCCTTTGTTACAAAGCATCATGAGCTCATTAAAAACACATGCAGAAATGGTTAAACAAAACCCTCTAAAACCTTTTACCAAATCGCCAGTCTATTAGGGAGACAGAGCCCACAGCGAACTCTCTCTCCAATGTGTGCAACGGAGCAGCTAATGTCCTTTGGACTCTTGTCTATGGCATCAAGCAGAGGGAAGGGTTTTGTGTGTGTGTGTGTGTGTGTTTCTTCCCCCTCCCCGGGCTGTGTGTGAGTGTGTGTGCTTGTTTGTTTTTGGTTGTTGTTTTTTTTTTTCTTTTTAAATTCTTTCTAATTTCTGATTAAACATAGCAACAAATAACTGTTTTTACCAAACACGTATTGTTATGCTCACCGCCTTTTACAAAAACTGATGAAAATTATAAGATTAAAAGGGAAAATTGTGTCATTGATAACAAGGGGGGAAAGAAAGAAAAAAAATAGATTGACTATGGCCCGGCTGCTTTTGTGGAGTGGCACGGCATCAAAGAGGGACGTGGACAGGCTGAATAGGGACTCTGCAGCCACCCGGTACTTGGCCCTGCTACACACACACACGCACACCCACACGCGCACACACACACACACACACACACACGCACACACACACATGTTGGAGCATATCTTAATATTTAAAGTGTCGGGATAAACACAACACGCAGTGGTATTCTGCTGTTCTGCGGACTTCACCCAGATGCACCGTCCTCCCAGTGGACGGATGCATGCACACCCGTTTGCACAGCACCATGGCGTGGCTGTAACAACACATGGGGCACATCGGTGACGCGAGACCCGACTGACACGGAGATGCTCTGGGCTCTGACCCGGCCTGTGCCACCGCCCCCTGGTTACAGGGAGTCGTGTGCTTGTCTTTTGTCATTCTGTTGATCCGTCATTCCAGTTTTTATACTTAACGATACTCCAGTAAACTTCAGTCATAGCTCTTTGATCTTGATTTCTTCATCATTAGGAATGGGGGGAAGTCCGTATCCAGTGCAGGCTTGGCACAGCAGATTTTCTCTGAGAAGTCGACGATGCTGTACCTTCATCCTCCCTTTATCCCCAAAGGAAGTGATATGGATGGGGCAGCCTGGATTCATCCAAACGGGCACAGAGAAACTTGTCAGGAGGAACCAAAAGTGTGGCATCAATGAGAGAAGGACCGCACATGCGTTCTCACCCACAAGCCTACCTGAGAGTGTGTAAGCTTTTCACAAGTATGACCCTTCCTTTCACACAGCCTGTAGAAATTGCTTTCCGTGAGGGCATGCTGGGAAACATAAATAAAGTTGAGATTATTAGTCCTTGATGAATTTAAAATTGTTTTTTTTTTTTTTAAATCTAGAGCCGGATGGTGGCGCACACCTTTAACCCCAGCACCTGGGAGGCAGAGGCAGGTGGATCTCTATGAGTTTCAGGCCAGCCTGGTCTACAACGCAAGTTTCAGGACAGCCAGGTTCCAGAGTAACCCTGTCTGGAAATAAATTAAAAGAAGAAAAGAAAAAGAAAAAAAAAGAAAGGGAGGAAGAAAGAAAGATCTACATTAAAAAAATAAAGATACCCACATTGCTAGGAAGCCTTTGTGATAGAAAAAAAATCTTTCGTAAAAACAACTTATTTTTGTAGTAGTATTGTTCCCTAAAACTGACCTAGCGTCTTCCCTCGGAGAGCTCAGTGACGGTCACATGTGCATTCCTGCTTACGGTGCAGGGGAGAGGTGAGAGGGTATTGTCACTCTGCTCTTAGAAATGAAGGAACAAATGCGGCCGAGTGGGACCCTCCTGTGGCATAACTCTGTCTTTCTGCTTTTCCTTCACAGCCTCTTTCCAGTAGACGACGATGAGAGGGGTGAGGGACAGTCTGAGAAGAAGGGGCCAGTAAGGGAAAACACCGAGCTCCCGCTTGGGCAGCAGAGGAGTTTTGAGGCTCCAGAAGACTGGCACCTCAGCACCTGACCACGCTTCTCCTTCGCCTCCCCGTGCCCAGGAGCACCCTGGCCATTCCCTGCCTGGATCCGCCTGCATTGAGCACTGCCTCATTGTGGCTGAACAAATAATATGGGGTTTTTTTTTTGGGGGGGGGGAGGGCTCAAGCAACTCTGGCCTAGCTGGGAGCATGACGGGAACGTGTAAGTTGGGAGGATGCTTTCAGGTTTCCGTTCAGACCCCAGCAGGGTACCACCAATGAGTGGGCCAAAGTGGAGGGAAAGACAGCATTCCGGTCTAGATTCCCACAGTAAGTGTTTCCAGCAGACCAGGGGGAAGGTAACTGTGAGGACCTTACCGTCAGCGTTTGATCACAGAGGTGACCTAGCCAGGATGGAGGCTCAGATGCAGCCTTGATCTGAGATGAACCTAAAGTAAGGGATTTGACCATCTCGTGCCTCTAAAGAGAGCAGACATCCATCTTTAACATGCTACCCACCTAAGGTTTGGGGAATGTGAGAGGTATTTTGCAAAGACCCAAATCTGCTTCTCTCTCCTCCGCCTTGCCTGGGCCTTTTTCTCATCAGAGTGAATGACTTGGAAGTCACTTCTGTCCCTGCCAGCTTCAAGTGTTCATGATTCTAGGTTAGTCCCTATGCATGGCAGCAACCTGTGAGGAGAGACTAATCAGACAAACACCACAGACCCTGACAGCGTGGAGAATTTCTGAGCCATTCAATCCTTAGGTTTTCTTAATTTGAGCAACAAAACTCATTTATTATTTTTAAGACAATCAATCCGGAATGCAAATATTCAGCCTAGAGGGTAGATTTAAGTTTTGATTTGTTTCTTGCTTATAAAGCTTAATTGTTATTTTTGGAGAGATTAAAAATATATGTACTAATAAATAAAAACAACATGAGGGTTGATGGCTTCATTCTCTGAGGGTCTGATTTGACTGACTTTTAAGCAACACGTCAATCCTTTAAAACTTTGCCACGCTGGTCAAGCCCACAGAACGCCTGTCGTATCTTCACTACGGCATTATTTTTATTGCAGGATAAGCACCTTTGCATAACAAACTGAACAAAGGAAGACAAGCTTCCCCTCCCTCCCCCTTTGCACAGAAGTGGTTCTAGCACCACTTCAAGGCATCCCTCAAGGAAAATAACATATAAATAGAACGTGAGAAATCACCACATTTTTCTAGACTTCACACGTACTATGAAAAGCAAAAGTTCTTTGTGCCCCAACGTATCCTCTAATTTCTCTGCCTTTTGCAGAGGGTTTTCATCCAGTTTGATGTCATTTTTTGTAAGGAGCCCCAGAAATGCCTCAGCTCCCTTGTCTTCAGGCCCCCTGCCTGGGTATATTAACACATAGCTAACTGGTACCCAGGGTGGTAAATAGGCCAATTTAAATTTGAGTTTTCATTTCAAATTTCTTTCTTTCTTTTTTTCACAAAATGGTAGAAAGACATGAAAACAACTTGGCTGAAAATTTCAGTTGTATCATGGTGTCAAAATCACTCGGTGAATAAACTTGATCCTCTTGTAGTAAATAAAAGGACACAGAGAACACTAAAAAGCAGAATACGAGGTAAGAATTCCAGTTTGTGCTTCAGCAACAGCCAGCCCTGGGAAAACACCCACCCAGCAGACATCAGCTTCTCTTAGATTATTCACTTGCAAAAATCTTGAGGATTTGGAAGAGATCTTAAATTTTACATAAGAGACTCCTGTCCTATGACATTGGCTATAAACCTATGTTGTTTCTCCCTCCTGCCGTACTTGAATCTAGAACCTTCTTTGTCAAAGCCAGGTAGAAATAACTTTACAAATCTGACTTTTTTGAGATATGGTTTGTTTTTTTTCTTTTTTCTCTTTTTTTCTCGAATTTCTTCTATTTGAACAGAATTTTAAGTGACAGAGAAATTACTGTAAATTAGAAAGTGGATTTTTTTTAACTAAATACACATAGATAATAGTAACTTCAATGGTTGCTTCAGCTTCAGCTCACCGGCCATAGGTTTTAAATTCCTTCAGTATTTTAATTATTGTACTATTGTGCTTTTTCCAAAATGGTCCACAGCGACCTGCTTAAAAGGCATTGCTGTCTAGTAAACATGCAAATGTTTCCGTATTACCAAGCCACATATGTGCTGTGGTTTTAAAAATAAGCACATGTATATTTTCAATCTCTTAAAAAATTTTAAAGAGATTTGAAAGAAAAGTTTAAATGTTTTTATTCTGATCAAAGCTCATCTCAGATCATCAGAAACAAAAAAATGTTTGCGTCATTAATAATCCCAGATTTTAAGGTGACCTGCATTTCAGTGAAATGTATATATCCTTTTTATAGGTTTGAGTAAATGTATTCATACATGCATGATTGATACATATCTTGCAAATTCTGTCACATATCAAAAGTTAGCTCTGGTCTGGCATGACACATAAATAAAGTCACTCTACTCCTTCAAGTTCAATGGCATCCACACATTTTCAATATTAAAACAGATTTAATCTACTCGCACACATGTGTGCCGATATTAAGATACATTCTTCCATGCTCCATGTCATATGAAGAACAAGTACACTTTGGACAAACTGGGATATCTGGGACAAAGACGTTTAAAGCATGCACACTGACACTTAACAAAGGCCACCTGATGTAATGATTAACTACAAAGATCATAACCAACTGTATGCGGGTGGTTTCAGTGGACGGATTCCCGGAGTGACCAGAGACTCTCCAAGCCACCCTGCACACACTTACTCAGACTATTCCTGCCTGAATGTGCTACACTGTGAAGCCAAATGGTTTCTGTTTTTGTTTTGTTTTGCCGTCTCCATTCCAAAAGAGACAACTTCCTAGAAACTAATAGTAAATTCATGCCTAAAGCTTAGAGAAGGACCTAGCTTGTTGGGGGAATAAGTGACCACAAATTCACGACAATCTTTGGTTTTAAAAGATATTGTTAAGGCTATCCTTCTAACTAAAGTATCATCCCACAAAGGGCTAGAAACTGAAATGAAATTATAAGTATCAGAATAGAATTAGGAAAGGTAATTGGATACTCCGTCCCTCTCCCCCAGCCCCTCTTCCAGGTTCAAAACCAACCAAATAAACAACAACAAAAAAAAAATTGATCTCTTTCAAGGGCTTGAATGTCCTAAGAAAAC